AAGCATCTTCAACAAATGGTGCTGGCATAACTGGATGCTAGCATGTAGAGGGCTGTGTTACTTAAGTTAAAATGGATCAAAGACCTCAAGACCTCAACATAAATCTAGCTACACTGAACCTATTAGAAGACAAAGTGGGAAATACCCTTGAATTAATTGGTTCAGGAGACTGCTTCCTGAATATTACACCAGTAGCACAGACACTGAGATCAACAATTGATAAATGGGACCTCCTGAAACTGAGAAGCTTCTGTAAGGCAAAGGACACAGTCAGCAAGACAAAATGGCAGCCCACAGACTGGGAAAAGATATTCACCAACCCCACATCTGACACAGGGCTGATCTCCAAAACATACAAAGAACTCAAGAAGTCTCCAAAACACCAAACAATCCAATTAAAAAGTGGGGTACAGAACTAAATAGACAGTTCTCGATAGAGGAATCTAAAATGGCTGAAAGACACATAAGCCATCCTTAGCCCTCAGGGAAATGCAAATCAAAACAACTCTGAGAAACCATCTTACTCCTGTCAGAATGGCTAAAGTAAAAAATACTAATGACAGTTTATGCTGGAGATGATGGGGAGAAAGGGGAACACTTCTTCACTGCTGGTGGGAGTGCCAACTTTTACAGCCACTGTGGAAATCAGTATGGCAATTCCTCAGTAAAATGGGAATCAGTCTACCACAATATCCAGCAATTCCACTCTTATGCATATACCCAAAAGAAGAACATTCATACAACAAGGACATCTGTTCAACGATGTTCATAGCAGCACTATTTGTAATAGCTAGAACCTGGAAGCAACCTAGATGCCCCTCAACTAAAGACTGGATAGAGAAAATGTGGTACATTTACACAATGGATTACTACTCAGCAGAAACAAACCAATGGAATCTTGAAATTTGCAGGAAAATGGATGGAACTAGAAGAAATCATTCTGGGTGAGATAATCCAATCACAAAAAGGCAAACATGGTATGTACTCACTCATTTGTGGATTTTAGGCATAAAGGATTATCAGCCTATAATCCAACTGCCAGAGAAGCTAGTAAACAAGTAGGCCAGGAAGAGAGACATAGATAG